TAAGTGAAACCTGGGAGCATGTCATTTCTTTACCTGAGCTGATTTGGCTGAACTAGGAGGAGGAACTTCTGTTTAAGTGAAACAGATGTAGGATATGAACATAACTGTCCCCAGTCCTAAACTGTCTCCGGGGGCTCTGAGAAGGCAGCACACCTGACAGACCTATTAAATCTCTGGCTATCAACATGAATTTACAGGCAATGGAAAATTAGCAGGGCTGTTTTGCTAATGCAGTCATATTTGGTTCAGCTGGAAAGGGGAGTGCTTTTGGAAAGATTAATGTGGAAGGTAATTGGTAACTTCCTGAGGGCTCCGGCGTGTGCAGAACGCGCTGGATTGACGCAAGGGAGGAACACGGGGTAGTCCTGCAGAGTAAAGTCCCAGGCTTCTCTTTCCTGTCACCTGTGTTTCAAACAGTTGGTGTTTTCTCCTCTCTGGGAGTTGAGTTTCTTGTGATTTTTAACTGTTTATTGTCTAGTTAAATGAGAAGTGAAGTGTTACTTTAACTGCTTCAGTTCTGAGCGTGGCAATGCTTGTACCTTAGTGCCAGTGGTTGACTTCTCATTGGAATTCAACCCTCCAATCATTCTCATGATTGGTGCTCCAATTTTTGGTGCTCAATACCTAAGTAAATCCATCTCTAAATAATATCAGCCCTGCAGGGACTTTGTTTATCAGAAGGAACCTGAGCATTATTTATTATTGCTGTTTTCTTAGAGGCTGTGTGAAGAGTTTGCACTGACACAGTCATATCCTTGATCGTGTGGTGCAGCATGTTGCAGCTTTTGGAAATGTATTAGAATCCTTTCTAAATACAGATGTTTTAGGAATTGTGCTGTGGGAGGAATATGGGGTTCAATTCTGCTACCAAACTCTTGTAATTATTTCTATTGATACTGGGGAAGCATGGACTTGTGAAGGCAGAATCTAACACCACGCTGGAAAAGCTTTGTCAAAGTTGCCTAAAATTTGGAGCCTAAAACTCAGATCTTGCTCAAGTTGAATTTTCAGAGTTTGTCTGAGAGTTGTTGACTGTGATTCAAACAGTCAACTTCACTCTGCAGCAACACATACTCAACATATACTCAACATCTTGCTCAAATGCTCTTCTTAACCATTGCTACTTTAAGAAGGATAACTTGGTTTTTAGCATAGCTGGGTATGCAAAGACTAATGCAGTGTAACCTCACTCTAATTTAGGACTGGCTAAGTAGGCACAAGGCCAGGGGTTTTACTTGCTAATGCTTTTTTCCTCCTTTACCCATTGCACTAAATGAGAGTGCATCCCAACTCTGACCTGGCTTATGATAGTGTGCATTTTAAAAACTAAAAAAAAAAAAAAAAAGGAGGAACTTCCAAGCCATGCTGTGGGGAGGAGGGAGTTATGTGGCTGAGAATGAATTTAGGTAATCATAATGAATGACAGGTAAGAATAAGCCCTGCTGGCAACTGAAAATTCCCAACAAGCCAGCAGGGCTTGGCCTATTTCTGTCTTCTACCAGCAGATCAAAGCTGAGTGGATTCAGCATAAAGCAAACAGTGTCAGCAAGCTTGGTTTAATTGTGATTAGTAAGCTAATGTAGATTTTGTCTAATTTTCCTTCTCCTTTCCTCTCCATGGTTCTCCTTTCCCTGCTGTTTTCTCGTTGTGTATAGACCAACATAACATATCTCACTTTCTCCCTCGTTGCTGCATGACATTATAAATTCTGCCTGATAATCCCCAAGAATTATAAAAGTTAATTAACACTAAGCTATTTTTACAAGCCTCTTTATTACAGTGCAACAAACTGCATTCCTAATTTATCAGGATGTTGCCAAGTGTGAATGAAAGATGCTTTAAGGCAAAACAGTGTTCAGAATAGTTTCAGTCTGGGCAATACTGGTTTAAATGAATGCATGAACACCGATAAAAGTGTTAATAATTCGAGGTTGTGTGTTGCACTTTGTTTTCAAAATTACTATGTTGAAAGCAATGTGATGTTCCAGAGTCTCCAGAAATGGTGCTTCAGTTCCTCATCAGTGGGGACATCAGAAACATTTCCAAGTTAGAGTTTAGGAAAAGAAGCCAAGATGAGGCAGGAATTAACAGCAAGAATGTTGTTACTGCTTTCACTTCCTTGTGCTGTTGCTCTATATTTCTTGCAGTGACCAACCATTTTACAAGAAAAAAATTTAATACCTTCAAAATCAATATTTTCTCATTTTTGCAAATAATTTGATGAAGTTCCAGCAGCTTTTGGACACCTGCTGCCTTCAGCCATGAGTCCTTCTTTCAGACACTTGTAATTCTGTGTTTAAGGATACTGTGCCCGTTTCAGCATTCTTTTTCCAGGCTGAAGAGTCCAAGTTCATGTCACCATTTCTTGCATGTCCTTCAGTTCTTTCCAGTTCTGATTCATGACTCTGTACTGGAGCATAACAGTCAAACATCAGTCTCATTTTTGACCTTTTGCATGACCTGTCCTCGTTTGCCAGGCAGCAGTTTTCCCAAACAATACATCTTGGTGTTCTTCTCTGGAAGAGGCTAGTGCTTGTTTAATTTGGCATTCAGAAATCTGTCATAGAGGCATATTCCTCCCATGAGCTCTGCATGTGACTTGTGGCTCAGTTATTAGCAGCTTTCTCCTCCTGTTAAAAAATGCCAGTAAAACTGTAGATGATCCATTCAAAAGGCCAGTTTCAGTTGACCTGCCACCCCTTGTCCACCTCCCATAATCTCTGCTCCCTGCCATGCAGCAGCAACTTGCTCAGTGTCAGGGGTTGTTGCCCAGGTTCATATCTCAGACACTTGGAAATTGGTGTGCTCATGTTGAGAAGAAAACCACTCTCTGTACAAATCATGTAGAGACTGGAGCAAGTGAAAAGAAGAAGTTGTATCTGTTTTCCGAGATGAACCAATTTGCTCCAAAATCTGAGATGCTTAGTGAGAACTGATACCAAAGTGTAGAATATGACTAGGAATCTTAAGAAAGATTGTTTGTTTGTTTTGCTCTTGCTCAGAAATGAAGAATTACGTTAAAAATTAAAAATATCAGCAACATAGGGGGAATCAATTTATTTGCCCATTAAAAACCCCCCAAAACACAACAATAAAACTGTGTTCATTTAAATCAAACTGGATTTAGTCTGAACTTCTGAAATAATTCCCATTCATAATTTCTCTTTCTTTCCTCTCCTGTTTACTTACAGGAAGCCTTCCTTTCCCTGCCTTAATGCCAAAAGCCATTATACTGCTGCTCTCCACTGTAACTACCAAAGCCCTGCCTCAACAATGACTGTCACTGTCAGAGCAGATTAAGGGGGATAAACACTTCAAGAGTGCTGGTCTCTTATCTGCCAGGGCAAGTCAGCACTCTTGTTCACACATCTTGAGCCAGGAAGATTGATTAAAAGCCCCACGTGGCCATAAGGCCAGAATGTGAAGTAAATGACTTCCAGGGTTCCCATGTAACAAGAATCTTAGGAGAATAGAAGACTTGGGAAGAAAGCAAACCCTAGAAAAAACAAACCCAAAGAAAGGTCCCTTTGATCTGGTGTCTGTCTGACATCTGTAACACTTCAGTTTCTAGAAAATAAGTATGTCACTTTATAACTTCTGGTTTTCACTGCAGTTCAAGTCTATTTTGTATATATATTAAAAATATAGATATATTTTATGGACAGAAAGAAAATTACTTTCCTTTATTGGTGTCTCCCTTCCTGAGCTGCAAAGGTTACCCAAAATAACTGTATTCACACGTTGCTCTGAACTGGAAGAAATAATTTTTTGCCAACTTATTCTTCAGACTATGGCATTAGAAATCAGGGCCTGGTGTGATATTGAGCTGCACAGGTTGAGAAGAAAAGCAAATGCAAATGAACCTATTGCTGGCAGATAAAATTCCAGGATTACCTCCCTTAAATGGTGAGTCATAAATGTGGTATAATTAATTCTTTGACTCTTGCAATTTGGAGCTGAGACTCCAGGCTGAGCCCGCTATGTTGCTATGAGGAAATGACCTAATGGACCAAGGCAAATTGCCTTAATTTGTTATTTATTATATCTCTTATATCTCAGATGGCATCCCAGCTGCCTGAGGCTGCTGGTACGGGTGTAACATGGCCCAAAATACAGGGTTTTCAGTGAGATCTGTGAGCAGGAGAGCAGACCTGAAACGTGATGGTCAGTGCTCAGGGCTGTCAGCTTTTGGGAATGTTTTAGTAATGGACAGTGAAAGGTGGGCTTTTATCCTGGCAACAAACTGAGGCGTCACGACTTAGGAATTAAATGTATTGGAAATCCACACTTTGCATATTTAAAAAAAAAGGTAAATCTGCTGGCCAGAGAAGAGAAAATCATCTGTGTAACATAATAAGAATATTTTCCTGCATTTGTCATGTTTTCCAGAGGTCTTTCAGTAATATTTTTATGTTCCTTATTCTTATTTCTGTTTCCATTTTTATTTCTTAAGTAGCAAATGAAGCAGAACCACAGGAGACCTTTAGAATGGATACAAAATGTTTAATGATCTTTGCCGTGCTGAATGCAAATTTTCTTCTGTCATTACTCAAATCCTCAGTAGGGATTTTCTGCTGTTATCTATCTCAAGCCCTTCTGGAACATGGTTATGAATTTTAGCAGTATACAGCTTGGATTCTCTGAATTTCCATTTTAGAGCAGAGTCCTAGGGATTAAAAGAACAACCACCACCTCACTCCAAACTGCTGTTTTATACCACACCTTACCCTCAGCCTTTGGGAGCTGACACTCAGTGACTTCCATGTGACTCTTGGCCATAGAGGGCCCAGAATTTAGTTGAACCAGTAGACTTCTTCAGAGGTTCCCAATATATCAAACAAGATTGCATCTTGAACATATTTTCCAGAAAACAGGTTGAAATTTCTGGTTACCTGTTGCTTTGCAGTGAATAACTCTGACAAATGACAGGTCACGTATAAATATCTAACTGCTCCCTCACTTATGGATTCACTAACTGTTTTCTCTCTCTCTTTTTTCAGGAGCAGAAACAGAAATCCTATTGGGCCGGGAAAGTATGGATATGGAAAAGTGCCATACATTTTACCTTTACAAACTGACACTGGTCAGCAGCCTCAGAAACTCCGGAGGCAGCGCCAGTCCTCGAGGAGCCACGTGTTCCACCCGAGCCCGAGCCTCCTGAGCCCCTACAGCCAAGCAGCTGGGCCTCCAGTCCAACATGGGAACCTTTATCAAGAAGCAAGTGGGCCTCAGGCAGGACATCAGGTCCTGGGACCCTCAGTTTATCAGTCACCATCCTTTCCTGCGTCTCCAAGTCTGTTCCAGAGCAGTGACCCTGTGCCAGCCCAGGCCCTGCAGGGGCAGCCCCAGCCCCAGAGGGCCACGGCCATCGTGTGCGTCGGCACCTACAAGCAGTACAAGCTCTGCAACACCATTGTAAGTCTGTTTTTCCGAGGAGTTTCCTGTATTTAATGTGTTGGACAGCTACGGCTTTCCTCACTATGGGAAATGTTCACATGATTGTCAAGTTAAGCTGAACGTTGTTTTTTTTATTAATTTAATGAAAATTTTTGTGAACTTATTTTAAAGCGTCTTAGGGAGTACTGAAAGTAGATCCATAATACTGCAGTTCCTTAAACCCAAACCTTCAAGGATTTTAAGCAGTCGCTTAACCTACCAACATGTACAATTCTAATTGGATAGAAGGAGAAACCAGTCTTTTTGGTGCCAAAACCTGGGAATATGAGGAATTTGAGATAAGAATAGTAACGGAGGGAGGTAGGGAGCAAAATATGGACTGAACAATGTTAGAGAGTGGAATGATCGTGGAGAATTTTTGTTGTAATTATGGTGAAGGGGCAAGGGGGGGTTTTTGTGTAAATTATCCGCTTCTGTTTGGTGCTGTGATAATGTTACTTTGATCTTTTTGGGGGGGGGGATTTTTTTTTGGTTTGGTTGGTTGGTTGGTTTGTTTTGTTGATGTTGAAGGTTGTGTGGTGAATGTGGATTTTAATGATAATTCTTAAATATGTGACTCATAGAGGCAGGGTAGTGTGGAGTGTATTGGGTTTGCATGGCCAGGTTTTGGTAACCTGTGCTGGACTGACCATAACCCCCATTGCTGTCTCCCTGCACTGCTGGGGGAGAGGAAGTGGAGTCCAGGAAAGAGAGAGGAATGGGGAGAAAGTGGTTTTAAGATTTGTTGTACTTGTTGTTATCCTGTTCTGATTTTGACTGGTAATAAATTCAGTTAAATTCCCCACATCCAGTCTGGTTTGCCCATGGTTGGTAGTGGGTGAGTGACCTCTCCCTGTCCTTAACTCATGAGCCTCTCCTTACAGTTTCTCTCCCCTGCCAGTTGAGAAGGGTAGTGACAGAGCAGCCTTGTCATCCAACCAAGGTCAAACCATCACAGTCATAGACAGGTTTAATGTTTTTTTCATGAAAGAAGTGGGAAAATGGAGTTGAGGTGGACCACGTTATGAAGGCTGCCTACTTCCCAATCCCATAAGGAAAGGTTATCTTTTGTGAGTGCCCCTCATGTTCTAGCTGGCATTTAGAGCCAGCACCCAGTAGCCCAGATCACTCCAGGATCTTTCCAGGTGCTGTGTATGTTCTCTGAGAGATGCTACTTTTCCCAGCATTCGAGCTCTACATGCTTTGATTTTGGCTTCCTAATTCATTGGAATGAAAATCTGTTCTGTGTTAATTTTTAAATAAAACTTACTCTCTCACTGCTTGATTCAGAAATGTTTGGCTGGGTGTAGCTCCATGCTCCAGGGCAGCCTCCCATTGTATGTGGGAGGCGAGTGAGGTTTTGTTCTTTGTCCCCATTAGCAGTTTTCATCCTCCTAAAATTTCCAGTTTCTGCCTGTGCCATTTTAGTATTTCCCAAAGTATCTCCTCCTAGTATTTTATCTTATTTGGGCTCCTAATCTAGCCTAATGTTGCAAACATGAAGAAGCCTGTATTTGGATATTGAAGCAGGATGTTCAGGAGAGGTCTCAATATGTTGACAGAACAGGCCATATTTTTCTGGGTGGGTGCACATCTGATTCTTCTGCCTCTTAAAAATCCTGTTTTGTTCAGTGGAAGCCTGCATAGTGGAGACGGAGCAACAGAACACAGGATAACAAAAACATGACTACACAAATTAGATGAGTGCCTTTTTTGCCTCTTAGGGTAGCAGTTATTACATCTGCTTTATTTATAAATAAAATCCATTGATAGAGACTAGAGCAGTTGATTGAAGAGACCTAATGTCAAGAAAGCTTTAGTGTATTTGTCTGGAATGGAAAACATGAAAGAGCTAATTTGAGCCTCTGAGAATAGTCTCTGGTACAAATTGCTCTTTTGAAAAACACTTTTCTGTTTTTTGAAGGAAATGGGAAATGACCTTAGTGCATGGGCATTAATTTGGAAAGTTTTCTGTGCTGAATTTTCTCAGTGGTGTCCAGGCAATACACAAATGCCCCAGTCTTTATTTCACCCCTCACTCATCAGGGCACAAAGTTGGACAGTGTTCTGCCCCTGACTTCATGTAAGAAAATCGCTTCCAGGAAAGAGGTCTTTTCAGAGAGCAAGGGGTGAGAGGTGAGGAAGTTAGAAATGAGGTGGAAGAAAGAAGCAATCCCAGACAAGGTGTGGCAAAGGAAGGCTTGTAGAGATTTGTTGAGAATGACAGGTGGGCTGGAGAGTAGAGGGCAGTGAGCTTGTGAATTGGACACTGGCAAGGTAGGCAGGTCAGTGTGATGAGGGGTTTGGCCATGGGCAAATTTCTTTTGGTAGAAGGGGAACAGAAATGCAAATATTTTCATGTCAGTTTTAGAATCTGTTGTTTAAACGAAAGAGTTCAACAGATGAAGAGAAAACATAGGTGAGCATACTGTTTCTGCATCTTTGCTGTTGCTGAGGGCATAAATGCAGTTATAAAGAAATCTTTGGTTATATTGCAGGGGACTTTATTAATAGCCAAGGGAAATTGTAGATGATGCAGCTTCTCCTAAGCGTGGAACTCTCCATAGTGATATTCTTTATTTAGTAACATTTCTGTTACCCTTGTTGAAGCTGTAATTGCTGTTCAGGGTTATTTTTCTCCCTAGAATGTGGTAATTAATGTAATTATAGAAAAGAAGTAGCTAAGAACAGTTTGAGTATAAAGGCCAGGACGAGAGCAAAACAAGGCTGATAGTGTTTCACTCTGCTCACTTGTTCTTTCTGATTAAATGCTTCTGCACGCGGGCTTTAATTTAATTTATCAGCAGTGACTTGTACCAATAGTCTTGCCAGCAAGCAGAGAACAGTATCTTTTAATTTTTTTTTCCTCAGTTCTTCCTGGCGCACGCCAAAAATGAAAATCTCATTTATTGAAGGTATTCTGTTAACCATTATCCTGGTGTTTGGCCACTCCCTCTACAGTTTCTCCTAAGGGCAGTTAATTAATAACAAATTAAGTCAATCTGCCTCGGTCCATTAGGTCATTTCCTCATTATTGTACATTTATTGTTTTTTCATTAATAGCCAAACTCATTTTACATGACTGACAGCTCGATTCATAAAAGTTAAACTTGTGAGGTTTGGTCGGGGAGACCCTCGGAAGTGCTTGTATTTGTTCAAGTGTTCCTGCAGGTCCTTAAACCTATTTTCTCGTTACACAAGTGGCTTCCCCTCTTCAGCACCTTTCCTACATGCTCCCCTCAGAACACACGGCTGCCTGTCACCTCCTTGGGCAGGAAACAGGCAGGAAACATCCCTCCTCTGCACACAAACAGGTCTAACTGAAACCATGAGCTACCTGCAGTACAATGAGATTCTTCCAGTGCAGCCTGCACTCCTCCAAAATAGGGAGCTGATGAGTAAATCTTCCTTACTTCCCCCTGCATTAAAGGAAGGAGAATTATGTGGATGTGTGGTTGAAGAGGAATTCGAATGCGACCTTCTTTGCGTGGTTTGTCGCCGGAACAAAGGAAGCAACTCAAATGGAACATTTATTTACTGAGCACTTTCTGTAATTAATTGTCTCCAGCGCTGCCAAGTCAGCAGCTCTCTGTGAGTGCCTGAATGTGTGAGAATATATTTGTAAATTAACTCCAGGCTGCAGGTCACTTGGGCAGTGTACAGAAGGAAGCTTTCAAGGCTCTGGACATTCAAGACTGTTTGTTTTGCAGTGTCTATTTGGTGATACACAGTGCCCCTTTTAAAAGTCAGTTTTACCTGATTTATTTTATTTTTTTGTAGGGCATGCAGTGAATTGTGGCTTATTGGTAAATACAATAATTCTTAGTATGTCTCTATCCTTACTATGTAGAGATCTTATTGCAGCCTTTCAGTACTTAAAGAGGGCTTATAAGATGGCAGGACTTTTTACCAAGGCCTGTAGTGTCAGGACAAGAGGCAATCCTTTTAAATTAAGGGAAGGTGGGTTTAGAGTGGGCATAAGGAAGAAATCTTTCCATGATGAAGGTGGTGAGGCCCTGGCACAGGCTGCCCAAATAAGCTCTGGATGCCCCATCCCTGGAAATACTCAAAGCCAGGCTGGATGGGGCTTTGATCAGCCTGCTCTGGTGGAAGGTGTCCCTGCCCATGGCAGGGGGGTTGACATCAGGTGATCTTTAAAGGTCCCTTCCAAGCCAAACCATTCCAGGATTCTACATTGTCCTCGGTGGAGAGCCCAGGCCTGAAGGCCCTGTTTACTCTGACAGCTTGTTAACTCTCCTCTTCTGCAGTTCCCACTTTCCAAATTGCACCAAACAGCTGATGAGGTCCCACAGTAACCATGACCACTTCAATGCTCTGGGCAGAAAACCCATAAAATAAAATAAAATAGTGTCTCTTTTGGTGATTCACTTACAGCACAACAAAGAGTATGAAAACCAGGTAGGGAAATTCATATATGAGTTTCAGCATGAAGAGCAATGCAAAAAGGATGTAAAATCTGAGTTGTATTCGAGGTATGTTTTTGACCAAATTTATATCTCAATTTATATAGTAATTTGCAAAAAAAACCCCAAGGTAAAATGTATGAAAGGCTAATTGTTGAGGGCTCACTGAGATATTTATGGATGAAGTTTTGCTGAGCTTGTCCAGTTTATTTCCAGTTACTGGTTCATATGGATTAGTGTCATGTCTCCAGTTACATTGTGTTGTCTTTCTCAGTATTTTATGTGACTGGTAGTTAACAAGAAGTAATTGTGTTTTGGAGAAGTGTCTAGAGAGGATCAGAAAACAATGATTACTTTTACTTTCTTGCCCTGACCCTTCAGCTGTGCATACTGTTATTCTGGTAGCATAGCTATGGAAAATCCAGCTTTTGGTTGTGAATAAGAGTCCTCTACTTGAATCTGTGTGTAGAGCACTTGAGAACAGCACCTGAGCAGGGAATGCAAAGTATCTGAAAAGACAATTTTGGAAATGGAAAGAGGTTTTACAATTGAAGA